CATGGAGACGTAACAGTTTGACAAATGTTTGTAGATAAAGTAATGATTTTTCTTCGAAAATTCGCTAAAGAATTAATGCTAAACTTGTCATCAAAATAAAAAAAAGGTTCAAAGTAAATATCACCTAAAATATTTACACCCAGACTTGGGTCGAATTGCGGTTAGGGCGTATCTAAGATCTGTTTAGTTACTTGAAAATGAATGACGCATAGCAACAAAAGATATTTAAATTAATTGTCGCTACTTCCAACTTCAAATACGTTTGCCATGAACTATGAATTATTAAAACAGATAATCGATTTTATCTTAAACAAAAATTCCAATTAACAAGTATAATGAGAAAGTTATATTCACCTTTAGCTTTTGATATCTGTCACCTTTCTCAAGAAAAGAAACTCATAAAAAGAAAAATGGAAATGAAATTTCGTCAATATTGAAGAAGAGTGTTTGAATTTTTTTCATTTTTATACATATATCGTAGGATTATTCGCAGAATATCCGAAACGTAGGAACAACCGTATAAAATACGGCCGCTTATCGTAGCATCTGTAGCAGTTTAGGAACATGTAAGCGAAAGAGATTCGTTTCATTTTTTTTTTTTTTTTAATGAAAATGTTCTCATTTTATAGGGTGCTGTGAGGGTTTTCTCGAACTAATTTGGCTGCTTTCCTATGCCCGGCCGGCAAGGAGGAGCTTCAAATGTTTTTGCCAAATTCGCAGTGGATATCTTGATTTTCGCGATGGGAAGACAATTTATCACACATGTACAGCCGGACGGACATGTTGGGATCGTTTGAAAATCTGATAGTTATTAAAACTACGTGTCCTGTTGTTTTCCGGGATTTTGTAAACATTTTGACAAAACGACTATATATCGCGATGATAGGTGTGAGGTTTCAAACCATTTAGTGTATATATGTATAGATATGTAATTAAATATCACATCGTAAATAAATGAAATTGAATGTGGATTAAAAAAATAACAAAAACAAAAGATTCTAATAATTCACATTGATACTATATGAATTGTTTACCTATGTGCATGTGTGTGTACCATTCCTTAGAATGCTCCCAATAAGCAAGCACTTCGGAGAATGAAATGCAAGTTCAGCTTATAGTATTGCACTTTTGTGTTATTTGAAAGCAAAAAAAAACAAAAAAAGAAGAAGAAGAAAACTATTTTATATATACTTAGTTGTCAATAAAACAATAATATTGCCGGCACGTGTTTAACACTGATTTAATTTTATTCGCATATTTTCGTTCGCTATATGAGCTTGCGTGCATCTGTCACGGTTTGATGTAACATAATTCTTATATTATCTGATATTGTTAAGTGAAGTGTAACCGAAAAACAACCGCAATTTTATAAATAAACAAAAATATTTTTTTTTTTTTTTTTTTTTTTTTGCAAAAATTGTGGTTTCTATCATACTAGCATATAAGGAAGTATGTTCTGCATTTTGCAAATGCAAAAAGATAATTAAATTCTAAAGCACTTAAAAACAAGTAAATACTCAATAGCGGGCCATGGTCCTTCATTAAATACCCTATGAAAGCCTATATATATTCATATAATGACTTTTTAAAATGAGACGTGGAAAAGATTCAAAAAAGTAACTCGACAATATCGATCCGCAGATTGATCATAAGAAAATAAAATGATTGAACGGACGGACAAGCCTAGGTCGATTCAGTAACTGATTCTGAATCGATCGGTATAGTAAAAGAAGGGTCTATGTGTGTTCAGGTGTTGCGCACACTCTCATAAATTTAATACACTCTTCTACCAGAAAAGGTGTAGGTCATAGCAATACAAATTCAAAGATTCTTGATCTCATGAACATATAAGAAAAACTTTTCAGTCTACAACTTTCAAGCAAATGTTTGCGATCTTCCTTTGACATTTGGTTGTTTTTTTACCGCAAAGTTACGCTTCCTATGAAATAACATATGTAAATATAATGGTGCGGCTTGCCATAAAAGGCGCGGGTGTCTAGTTTAGGTATATCAAAAAATGTTGTCGAACTATATATATTTGACTACAAAGTGATTAATTTTCGAGAAACATATCAACAAGCTTGACCCAATCCTGAGTCGCTAATAAATTATTGCTTAGGTGGGTGTGGAGAAATTTTTTG